GCCTCTGTGCATTCAGCGAGTTTGGAAGTCTGCAAAAAGTGAAAATAGGTGCAGGTTAACTACTTGATTGTGCCCATTTTCACCAGTCACGATTTGCCAGTCCATGTGCTGCTCTTTTGAAGGCACTTGAATTGTGTTTGACTTAAGGTGGTGATCCAAAGGAGCAGGGAGGGCCTATTGACCAGTGTGGAAGAGCACTCCCAATTTACTGAAGGAGAATCTGCCGAACAGAGTTGAAGCCTTGTCCTTCTGAAGGAAAAGGTCTTTCCAGGTCATCAAGCTGGTCTTTCACATGGTAGCTGGCTCTGAAGCCGATATCTTTGGCGCCTTCCTCTGGTGGCAACCTCATAGAGTGCTCCTGGGCCCCATTACTGCCCTGGTCCTCTCAGAGAATCTGAGCCAGTGTGGCTGGGCAGATCCATGTTCTCCACACTAGGCACACACACAATACAGATTCTGACTGAGGAAGAACGTCAAGGATCACACGTCTGCCACAGTAGTGGAGGCATTTCCTCAGTGCAGCACCCCATATCCTCCAGCAACTGGAAGCAGTGAGGCAAGGGGGGAAAAGATGGAGGCAAAAGGGTAGACAAGGCTTTAGAAAAAAAAAAAAAAGCCCTGGATTAAAAGTCTAGTTGCATCAGTTACAAGGTATGTGACAATTTAAACCTTGGTTTTCTCATCTGTAAAACGGGTTGATACCTGATAGAGCTGTTATGAGTACTGAATAAGACAGTGAACATAAAGCCCTCCTCTGTAATCTGGCACACAGTAGGTGTCCAGGAAATGTCAGCATGGGGCAGAACACAGGAGACCTTGGTTGCATATGTAAAGTGCCATATGTTGCTACATAACACTGTTATAAAGATGCTGGAGATACAGCAGACTGACAAGTCAAAGACAGCTAAGTAGCTCCCTTCTGTACCTCATTGCCTTTACCTGTCTGGCCCTCCGGGATGGAATGTGGAAAGCACAGATACTGCACAGCAGAGATGGATCCTTGGCAAAGGCTGGAGTAACAAGCTATGAATTGTTGATTGGGGACTACGGTTGGACGGGACAAGCCTGGAATAAAGGTGGCCAGAGGCACCTGCCAGAATGCCAGTTGTGTGTCACAGCAGAAGCAAAGGTGATCAATGACAGCCACAAGTAGCACAGAACCTCATTTTACCAACAACTTTAATCTTATTCCCTCATCACATCTTTTAGATTAAAAGATGTTTTTTGATTAATTAAGGTTCCCCTTCCTGTAAAGTTTCTAGCTCGACATCTAGTTAACCTAAAATGAAGTCAACTGAAAAATAATGGACAGGAAATTACATTAATGGCTCACCAATATCTAACAATCCCTTAGAAAGTAAGAGTTGGCTTCATAGAGATTCTTTTTGGAAAGGAGGTGGGATTGATGTCTTATAGCAAGTTTATTTGTTTTGCTTAGTCAGGTTAAAAGTTTCTATTTCTGTGCATTAACCAGTGATTATGACGGATACTAATTCTGTAGGCAGGCAGTCTGGACAGTTCTTTGGCTAGTCTTACCTAGGATCACTCCTGTGGCTGCAGTCATCTGAGTTCTACAGGACTAGGATGTCCAAGATGGCCTCTCTCCCATATCTGGCAGTGGGTGCTGGCTTTTGGCCAAGCTGTTGGACCACCTTGGTCCATCTCTACATGGCCCTTTGTCCTCCAGCAGGCTAGACTGGGCTTCTGCACAGCAGGTATTCTCAGGGTTATAGGAGAGTGATAATGGGGGGTTCAAAGCTTCTTAAGGCCTAAGCTCTGGAAATCACACAGTGACATGTTCCCCATATTCTATTGGCAAAGCAAGTCATAACTCAGCCAAGATTAAAGGGATGGAGAAAAAGACTCTACCAAGGTAGCCAGACAAGAAAGGCGCTAATGAAGAGACATTTCAAATTGGGGTAAAGGATTTTTCACATAAAACAGCATGTGGTCATCTTATGCTGAGAACAGGGGTGAGGCATATGGGAAGAGGCAGGAAAACCTTCTGCATGGGGTCCTAGGAATAGCTGGGGCTTCCCTGCAAGTGCACTGGGCACTTCCCACCTTGAACATCTATTGTAGGACTAACACCATGCCATACTGGGAAAATATGGTTTGTTCAGAGGACTGCAAAGCTTAGTCACTGCCCATCCTTGTCCATCCTACTCTCCCAACTGAAATAAGGAAACTATAGGGAGAGTCAAAAAGAGCGGAAAAATAAATTGAGTACTGCAACTAGATGGAGGTGGGAAGCCAAACTGATGTTACGATTTTTCCCTCACTCCCAAATATACATATTAATATAGTCAAACACAGTATCATCCCTTGAGGGCTGAGTGCTTCTGCTTTCTTTAAAGCAGATATTCTCAAATTCCACTCACTGGCTATTCCCAGTGGATTGTACATTCTTATTGCTTGTAGAGCAATAGTGCCCATGTTTAGGTTTGACCTTAAAAAATTTTTTTTGCAACAACCTATAACTTGTTCATGCTCTTTTATTTTTAAAGTACACCTATTCATTTCTTTTTCAAAAGCTGGTGAATTTTCTTTGTAAAGATATGGGTAAGCTTGAAGTACTTTGTCTAGCATAAATGGGTCATAAACTGGAAGGGTACAGGACTCCTACAGTATGTGCAACTTTTATGCTTATAGTATGCAAGCATGTTTGGTAACAAAACTAAACTTCAATAATACACTGCTTAGCCCCATATAAAAATACTCCCTGGTAATAAAAATACTGTTACTGTGTAATAATCAATGCTATATTATCTACTCAAGTTCATTTTGTATTAAAGAGATCATATATTTTTTAAAGTTTTTTAAAATACCTCAACAGCTTCACGATGTGAGACCTGTTCCTGCAGTGTGTACCATTAAACCTCTAAAGTCCAGAATTGTACCTTACACTGGGTAGGAATCCAGCACACACTTTGTGAGTGAAAGGATGGTAGTTATTATTATCATCTTGACAGCCAGGAACAGAGGTTGGTGGGTATCTGGAATGAGAATCAAACATTAACTAACAGGAATGATGCTGGATCCATCCATCGAGACAATCATCATTCTGGGGTTTCTGTTGCAGTCTATGAAGAATGGAGAAGGCTAAAGTATTGTAGACTGCCCCAGAACTTTAGATTTAGAAAGAATCTTGGCAGTCAACTCCTCTTCACAGCCAGTTCATTGTTCCTCTCTAGGGTGCCATTGGAGAGGACACTCCCTGAACACTTATGAGTCAAGAAACCCTCCTTTTCACCAGCCACTGGGTTCCTTTTTAAGTTTATTTTTAAAAAGTTTTCTTTAGATTGAAATCTGCCTCCTTTAATTCCTACTTCTGGCCCTAAGTTCTGTATTTGGCACTAGATAGACAAAACCCATAGTCTATTTTACACTCATTCAAATCATTGTATTTCCCCCACCGGTGAATATATTACCAAAGTTGGTTGAGTTTCATAATGCAAGCCCAAAGGGAAAATTATCTTGAATAATCATATGACAATATGTGGAAACTTTAGGGGCTGTGTACGCCACCTCATGGTTTTGAACTGTGTGGTTAAAGACATTGAGAGTTGACAGATTAGTCAGGGATTTGTCAAGAGTATTAATTACAAACTTTGAAATCTTGGCCAGTGAAAGTTCATTTTAGTGCATCTTGAAAATATGATCAAAGGTCTTTTCAGTACTGATTTGATGATGCTTAACCACAGTGTGTGAAGAATGAAGTTTTTCATTAGAAATTACTGATGTAATAATAGAGCACATTTTCAGGGAAGATGTATTGTTGGACTATTACAATTCATGCTCTTTCCCCACCATATCCCTACCTTCTATATATCCCCCATCCCCTATTTCCACCACCTTCCTTCTTGGGACCTCACTGAAAACCTGAAATGCTCTGAAAACCTGAAATGGCATTTTGGACTGCTGCAAAGGAAACTGATCTTAACAACATCAGTGTGGCTCAGAGATGACCACCCTGTGAGGGCAAAGGCGGGGCTGGTGTTAAGTGATGTTGTTAAACCTGTAAAAATAAGCCATGAAAACCTAGGGATTTACTGTGATTTGGGGAGTGAAACAAATTTGCCACTGGCTGAAAACTTGAAAAATGGAGTACAATGTGTAGTAGATTAGAAGAAAGGAAAGCTGTCCGTCTGCCCTTGTGTAGTTTTAGAAAAACAATCTTACTATTTTGGTAGCTATTTTTCCTGAAAAAAAAAATACACTGGCACCTAAGCCATGGAAAATGAAATAAAAATACACCAGTGCAGCTTCCAAACCACTGGCTTACATCTCCCTCTCCTATCCGCTGGGAATGTCTTATCCCTGCCTTCCAGTGGCTGCCAGAACCACCAAGGGCATCCGCGGCGTTCCTTGACATTGGTGTTAACAGCAGATGGATTTTCCGCAGCAGGCAGGTGGAAGATGGCTAGCATTGGTCCGCCGTCTCACTGTACTGAATTTCAAGAATCATGGCCTACTGCCAGCCAGGTCCGAAGGCGCTAGTCTGGGGAGACTGGAGCAGGTCTCTACTGGTTCACCTGTTCTGAGACTCTTCCTGTTCAGTTGCCTCTGCGCGCCAGAGGGTGGCACCCCAGGCACTCCAGAGGTGGAGAGGTGGGGACGGCAGAGGAGGAAAAGAGAGAGGAGCGGAGGGAAGGACTAGGGAGGGAAGGATCAAGGAGGGAACATTAATAAATTCTCAGACCTTGGTCTCGAGTTCCCGGCTAATTTGGGGGCAAAGCCGCCCCCACGTCCACTCCCACCCCCTTACAGAAAAAGCCTGGGTTTCCACTAGGCTAGGTGTCAGAGTTGGGAATGTCTAAAATAAAAAAGGCTTCCGAGGGTTATTCATGGCCAACAGTTTCCACAGGAGAATCCAAAGGGAAACTAGTTTCCGGGGCCGCTGTGTGTGCGAGTGCTTGGGGGTGGGCGGAAAGCCGCTGGCACTAACGGCTTGTAAGTGTGCCAACATCTGACCTGTCCCATTGTGTCGTGTTTTGCAGTTGCTGGATGTGTGCGACTCGGGGAAGGATGATGCCCTGAGGGTGATCCCCGCCTTTAACATTCCACACACCAACCTCCACGCACCAATCGCCGGAATCTCCAACCCGCGGTTCGCGTGGGCTTTCTACCCTGCACCGCTGCAGCCGCTGCCACGGGAAGGGGCGCGCTCCCAGCGGCCCAAGCTGGGAGCCAAGCTCTAACGGGTGTGGCGGGAAGTGTGGTGACCCGCCTGCAGCTGCCACGACGCTCGCTCCACTGACGCCCGGAGCTGTGGCCGAGGCCGGGGGAATTTTGGTGGCAAAGAGAAGGTCCCGCCGAGGCTGGCGAGGCGCGCCGCTGGCTGCTAGAAAACAGATCAAGACGGTCGCCTAGTGCGCTGGATCTCTGTGCCCTTTCCCTGAAACCCAGCCTGGCCTGACTGCAACCTCTCCCAACTTCTGTGCCCGATCCCCTAGACAATCAGGGTGGGCTCCCCGCTGCGAGCGCGCCCCACAGCCGGGTGCCGCCAAAGGTCTCCTGCTGTTAGCGGTGACTCACATTCCCAGTGATTTAGAAAAACTGTGGTGCCGAGTGAAAGAAAAAAAAAAGCAAACACTCTTAGACAAAAGAAAAAAGCTCCACTCTTTCCGTGAGCGGGCAAAAAGGTTCGGTTCAGCAAGTGATGCTTTTTCAGTGAATCAGACGCTCTGGGGCTCTGTAAGGAAACGCACGGACTGGGAGAAGGAAATGGGAGCCTAGAGTTTTGCTCTCGGCAAAACAAGAACTCGGCATGTCCTTCCAGGCCGGCGGTTTCCGTACAGCAAGACAAGACGCGGAAAACATTTTTACCATCTGACGCTGTAATCTGTCCTTTAGAAAAGCATAGGTGAAAAGTTTAATAAAGAAATTAAGCGATGTGGAAGTCATTCTCGCTGCTTGCAGACGGCGGGGAGGCGGGCCTGGGCAATTTCGGAACTAGGCGAGACCACGGCACCGCCTGTGGTCCCGGGCAAGGGCCATGGATTTCCCATTTCTCAGATCCCAGCTGCCCGACTTCATTCTTGTTTCTTTCAGTCCAAATCATCCTCCCTTCTCCCTCCCTCCACGTCTCTTGGCACCGCTCTGCCCGCGTCCACTGCGAGGGAGGTGACCTAAAACCCATGGGCCTGTCTCTGCGTTCTCTGCGCTCTGGCCCAGTTCCGGGAGGACCTCCCGACGCCGCGGGAGAAGGCTGCAAGGGCTCGAGGCCCCCGACGCGGCCTGGGTCTCGGGGGACATATGAACCCGCCACCTCTGGCCAGCTTCCTTTTAGTGCCCCAAATAGGAGCACTTAGCCCGTTCCTTCCCCCCGACTCTCTTGTTTTTCAAAGTGTTCACAGGGTCGCGAGAGCGAGCGACGCGGGGGCGGCGAAGCTGCAAGGCTGCAAGGCTGCACAGGAACAGACGACAAGAAATAGGGCTTTCTTCTGCGTGGTTCTTTTCCGGTCCCTGTCTGAGTCGCCCGACCCCGCGGGGAGCGCGGAGCATTGCGGCGTTCGGCTACCTTCAGGCTCTCAGCCCAAACAGCAGGTCGCGTTGCTTCTCCCCAGTTGCGACGCCGGACGGCCGAAGAGCAAAGTTCGCCCGCAGTAGGAACTTCGAGGCCCCGTTAGGACAGATCTCCGGCCTCCGAGTCTACTTAGCCGTGTCCACGCCCGTGCGTTTTCCCTCTTGCAGCGAAATAACTGGGCGGGGCCCGACGCGCGTCCTCCAGCGACTCCGGGAACCCAAGGCCTCCTGCACCTCGCTCAGAATTCACCCGAAAATGCGCTGAGACTTTGGCCTGAGGTTGTGCTGTGTCCCACTGACGTTACAGAAGCGCTTATGAATTTAAAAACTGATCCAAGTGGCCGAACGGCAGGACAGCACCTCCTCACTTGCTCCTCTACGACAAGGCCCCTTCCTTCTCCCCGCTGGCTGCGCTGGTGGGTAGGGTGGTCCCTTTACAGAGTTTTCTTAATCCATCTAGCCTGACCTCACCTTCGGGATGCTCCATTTCCCGATCCACCTCCCACACCCCCGCTGCCGTGATCTAGAAGCCAGGGCTGGGGAACCGAGGCGCGCGAGGAGCAGACAGGCGGGCCGGGATTGGGGGCACCAGCCACGCGTTGGGAGAGCAGAGCCGGGTGCAGACTCTGAGGACTGGAGAGGCGGCGTGGAGTTTGGTCTCCTGGGAGGCAGAGAGTGCGGTGCCGCCGACTCCAAGGAGGACAGGGAATGGGGGGGGGGCCGCGCGGGGAGGAGGAACGGGGTATTTTGCGCTCCCGCACCGCGTCCCGAACTCAGCCGTTCTGCCCTCACTGGCCTCAGCCCGTCCAGGGACAGCTCCTACGAGGTAATCTGCGAGCCCAGCAAATCTTGGGGGTCCTAGCCGAATGTAGTGCGCAACGTTCTCTCACTTGGAGGCCGCCACTCACCTCGGTTTTTTGTGTTTCTTTTTTCCTAAAAGGATTTTTTTTTTCTGAGTGCCTTTTTCATTTCCCTATTTTACCTGCTCTGCTGACATGCCTCCCGCCCTCACCCAGGAGGCGGCGAAGACGCCCACTGGGACCGCGCCTGGCCATTTTCTGGGCACGTCCTGCCCCCACGGGCTCTGTCTCTTAGGGAGACTGGGCGCGGAAGAAAAGCTGGAGAGCCCCTGCGGGGTGGCAGGAGGGGGGTGCCTGAGTCCCGCGAGAGGCTGGGGCGAGGAAGATGCGCAGCCAGCTGATCCGCGTCCCGCCCGGGGCCAGGGACCCTCAGAGCGAGGAGAGCTCAAAGACCTCGCCCCGCGCCTTCCCGACGACCGACCCAGTCCCCGCGCCTGCCCCAGAGCGGCTTAGAAACTCAGGGCACAGTGAGGGCGCAGGGCACCTCCTGAGACTTTCCACCGCGGGCCCGGCCAGCGGAGGCTGTGACCGGAGCGCCCCCTCTGTGCCGCGCACGCCGCGGCCGCCACAGGGTTGGGGGAGGTGAGCGGGAGGCCAGGGTACACTTCGGGGTGGGGGATGGGCGCGCACATGGCCGCCAGCAGGCAGAGTCACTCCGGTAAACACGCCAGGGACGGCGGCGCGCGCGGGAGGCAACCCAACGGGGCCACCCCCGCCTTTACCTGTCCGAGCCTGCACGCGCCGGCGGCCTAGGCGCCGCGGAGGCGGAGCTTGCCAGCCCGCGCGCCGGGGCGGGACCTAGCGGGGGCGGGGTCCGCAGTGATTGGGCGCAGGAGCGGGGCCGCCAGCCAGAGCTGGGCTGCAAGGCAGCGCAGGTTTCACTTCGCTCTGCGCCGCCGCCGGGTCTGCAGTTTGTTGGAGGTCTGCGTCCAGCCCGCTGCCGCCGCCGCCGCCACTGCCACCAGTCGATTCTTGCAGTCACCCTGCGAACCCTGCCACACTGCGATCGCATCATCGGGGTATTCGGTTTGCTGAGTTCCCGCCGCCACCGCCTCGGCGCCCTTCCCTTGGCCCTTGTTCCCCCAAATGTCTGACTCTGACTCTCGGACTGAAAAACGCAAGGTAAATACCTCCAAATCCCGCGGTGCGGGCCTGGCACCGATGTAAGACTAGCGCTGGAGCCCGAACGCCACCACCTACTGCCCGCTTCCCGTGCACGTGCGAGCGGAGACGCTAGCATCGGCCCCGCTTGTCGCCGGCGGGAGGTGGGGATCCATGTGGGTCGGGTTCCCTCGGGCAGGTTCTCTTTAGAGAAAGGTCGTTCGCGCGGAGCCTGCGGGCTCTTGGCCAAGTGCGGCTTGGGCTGGGATGCTTCGCGCGGGCCTGGTGAAGGGTCGCAAGTCCGGGGAGGAGGAGAGGCAGCGCGTGCTTTTCGGCACCGGCCTGGGAGCTGAGGACCGGCTCGTAGTACCCGGCTTTGCGCCCAGCCGGAAAGTCTCGCCGCCGGCTCCGGCGCCCCAACGGTAGCGGCCGCGCAGTGAGAGCGTGTTTCGCGTCTTGGTTTTTTTGGGCGCGCGGGCCTGTTGCGGAGGATTTGCGGAACTGCGGTGGTGATTTAACTGACGAGACAGGGCTTTTCCTTTTACTCATTCAGGCCAAGGTTTCGGGGCCGCTGTTGCATTCGCTTTCTCAAGCGTACCTGGGGCCCCTGCTTGCTCTGCAGGAGTCTTGCGGACAGTGCCATCCACACGATCCACTGACAGCGAGAGATCTAGGTCCTCTCCTGACCACCTGGACCGCGCAGGGGACTAGCCGCGGCCAGCAGAACCTGCGCGGTCCCTGGGGCCAGGCTATCTTAGCGGCTCATGCGTGCCCGAGCACACCCGACCCGGTTCGTGGTGCAGGCTAGCGGCGCCGTGCCCTCTGGGACCTGTTGCCCCAGGGTTGGCGCTGCTGGTGGAGGGCCCGACGGACGCCAGGGCGGAGGATGTGGATTTACTCGATGGTCGCGGACGTGCGCGTCCGTGGCCAGGGGTGGCTCTTCGGCTTTGACTCGTGTCTGCGGCGCACCAGGAGAAAGAGAGAGGAAGTTGTTGGAGGAGAATAATTGCCGCAGCCAGGGCGGTGACGGCCGTTGGGGTCTGCCCCGGACAGGCCAAAACAAGGACAAGTGACGAGAAGGACTGGGCCTGGCGATGGCCCTGCGGGTCCGGACGCGGCGCAAGCCCTGCTTTGTCTCCAGGTGACTGGCTGTCCAGTGCGGCGTGAGCTGCTAAGGCTTGTGTCTGGAAGGAGCACAGAGATGGGCAAAGTAGTCGGGCCAGCCGGTCCCCAAATTCTCCGGCGAAGCTGCCGCCGCCGCCACGACCACTGCCCAAGCTGCGCTCGGAGGCGAGTTTGTCAACAATCGCCTCGCCTTTGGCGGCCTGACCCGTA